ATATTAAATCTGAATGACAAACACTACAAAAAGTAAATTTGAATAACAGCATGTTAACTATTAGGATAGCTTTTTCTTTAAGCCTTGATATGAAATCATAATCCCTTTATCTTGTATAACAACCAAGCATTGAATGGCCCATATACATTTTTAGAGTTGATTTACATTCTTTCAAAGGGAAACAAATTATTAATATTATTACTAGTTTATTTCTTGATTTTCTTCATAACTGATCCAATTTAAAGGTATAACAGAAGGTTCAAATACTTTTTTTCTGGAATTCGAGGTCCAGAGCTAATATTGAGTCCATGTGCACCAGGTTCGCATTGAACCCTGGACCAACGGTTAAACCCTGATCAATATGATCTTAATTTGGACCATGATTTGGATCCCTACGTGGGACCTACTGGAAAGCTGGTCCTGAGCTCAGCGGGAGTTCGGTGGGAAATTCAGCGTAACGAGGATACCTTGAGACAGAGAACACATGAGCTTGATCAAGGTCAAAAATTTCCTCTTTTTCAAATCGTTTCCTTCCTTCCTTCAGTATAAAACATTGCACATCTTGACTGTGCAGAGCTAGAATAAACTTGAGTTCTGGTAAAAAAAGAAAATGAATTCTCACAGAATCTAACGAAACTTACACTGAATGTTCAAGATTACAAATAAATGTCATGTGCCAAACAATTTTGGAAGAAAATGTATACTGGCTGAGTTATGAGCATAGAAAGATAAGGAAATCAGGGTAGTACTATAGCCCCGACACCATGTGTGTTGTCCCATATACATCTTTCTGTGTAAGTGATTATTACTTTACCATGCAAGACTCTGCCAAATTTATGATGATTTTGATGACTCCAGAACCTTGCATTACACACCATTACTTACATGTTATATGATCAACTTTTCTGATCCATTCCACACCTTTTCTTTAACAATGCAATCGCATTACCAGTACTGAAGTTTATCTTTAACTCTATGTTAAACTAAGGGAGTTAATGCCATTCTGGCTCCAAACAGAGTTGTATTCATACTCCATCCTACTCCTAACTAAAAGCCTACATGTATGTACAGTTTGGGTAAGCCTAAAATATAACTTGTCTTCACTCGTTAGATTTCTATATAACTTATGACAGGAAAAGAATGGTAAGATGCTAGCAATTGTAGCCTTTAGCTCCCTAAGAAGATTAACAAGAAGGTGAAAATAATTAAAATCCAAAAAAGGATTGTCAGATTTCTTCAACTTATAATAACAAATATTTAGATACTAGCCAAAAATTATCAGCACATGTGAAGCTTTTTCCCTCCTTGATAAGAATAAATAATTTAAATCTTGGATAGGATGTAAATTTTCATGCCCTACTGACATGAGTTAAATAAGGGACAGATTGTATCTATATAACATTATTATTTAATAAGAGCTCCCTTTTTCACAAGGCAAAGTGGGGGAGAGGGAGGGTGGGGGCTGAGCAAACAATTGAGAGTAGTCGGTATTACTTCATTGCAATGATGTGGGATGAGACAGTTTACTCAAAAAGGGAGGGCCTGCAGACCCTCCTATCCCCCCCCCCCCCCCTCCCCCTCTCCCCCAATTATTGCAGCCCCTGTAGCTTAAATAGGTTATGGGAACACAAACAGAGACATTGTACCCACCACCAGACAATACATTTTTCTCAGATTGCAGTCTGCTCCTTGGAAAGACTTCAAACTGGTTCTCTCACCAACCAGTTCTAGAAAATCTTTACTTCTGCATGGAAGCGAAAAGTAAAATGGAATGGATCCAGTTGAATAGACCATTTTGCGGATTACATACATTACTTGTTGCTAGGTAGGACAAACACTAAGGACTTTCCTAATACTTAGTCAGTATTACATTTTAGCAACCATGCGAGATGAGACAGTTTACTCAAAGAGCGAGGGCTTGCAGCTTGTTTTGACATTATGCTATCTACCTTTACATATCTGGAATTTTAATTGATCTAAAAAAATTATTTCATCATAAAATCTATGATATCTATAAAAATCAAATCTGATAAAAATATTTTCGAACAGCATCAACACAACTATCTTAGAAGGTCATGGATATCGGGGCACAATTAGAGACATTGTGCGCACCCCCAGACAACATATTCATGAGGACTCCTCTGCTTCTCCCAGAGAGACATTAAAACCAGTTCTGTCACGATCAGTTAATCTCATCAAAATAAAAATGCCATGCAACATGACCCCTCTTACCTAAATGACCCTTTTGACCTTTATGTCATCGTTGTATATTGATGATTGCTGGTTGATATGATGGGTGAAGATCGTATCTATGCTACAGGCGCATCCTTATTATATTAGACCTGGGGGTGTTTCACAAAGATCCTCAAAGTTAAACTTCTTATCGCTAAGTGGGACTTAACAATTATGGAAAGCCATTAGCATTTTTGAAAATATTTTGTAAAAGTTATTTTAAAAGGCATGAAATGTAGATTCAAATCATTCATATTTTCTATTATCATTGGAGATTTCATGTTCTTGATGTGGAATTATGAAAAGTCTAAAATACTTGAATTTTTGCTTTTTAATATATAAGGCTACAAATGGCTCTCCATAATTTTCAAGTCCAACTTAGAGTTAAGTTCGACTTAGAATCTTTGTGAAACTCCCCCAGACAAGCTTGAGCTTGAGATAAATATTAGACCAAACAGCACTTCTCTAGAAGAAAGTCAGTGTTTGAAGTTCTCCGTCTCCATTAGCTTGAGTTGAGCAAGCTTTGTATGCTTGCTTGAGAAATTAGCTCGAGTAACGTACAGGATGAGAATAGCTATATATATACATTACGTTTTTGCCCCCAGTCTCAGACCACATCTAACAAACTAAAACTTAGATCTACATGTTACCCAAATTTGAATAAAACTTAAAACCAGCATTGATGTTTATATTTCCGTAGAATATGGGCCAAAGATTGTAAAGTGATGTAAATGAGTGCATTATTTTTAAAGAATCCTTAGCTAATTCTCTAATATTGAATACCATAACTTTTTTGCCCCCTGTATTTGGAGGGAGATTCAACGCTGACAAAATATTCTGTTGGACCTGGCAAAAAATAGTTTAAATATTTAGTTTTTTTAAAGTTTTTTTAATAGTATTATGTTAGAATTCTGGGGTTGTAGTATTCTGGGGTTGTAGTACTATAAAGAATGTTAATGTCGCTATGGGGACTAAAGCAATATCCATATATAGGTTCTCTACCCCAGAGGCACCATTTAACATTTTGACACAGTCCAGAAAAAAGTTGAATCGCTGTATGATTGGGCCAAGAATATTCAATAAAAAAATTGTCTTTTCAAATTTTGAAAAAGATGATGAATGTTTAGTAAGGGGTAAGTTGATGTTGAATTTAATCAATAAAAGATTACAAGAATTTGATTCATAATACAATACAAAAAGGCATTACCCATAGCAGTACATTGTCTCCTTTCAGTGACATTTTTGCATTATCTATTGATCCAGAAAGCTTGGAATTACACATAATACACAAGCAGAAAGAGCAAAACAACACAGACAACTTTGAGTCTATTTCCAATGCAGTATGTTGTGCAATCTAAGAGCAACTTACCACTAAAGTCTATAAAAAGGCAAAGTGATGTAAAATATAAATAAATATATACATTGTTTTTCACATTAGTAAGTTTAATAAACATTACTTTTTTTAATTATTTTGGTTAAATTTTTCCATTGTCTTTTACATTAGTTCATTTAATAAATATTATTATTTTTCAAACTATGCAGGAGTGAAAAATAAGATTAATTGTTGCCGATTTGAGGAGGGAATACTGATTACACTAAAAGATTTTTTTTTTTTTAAAGTATTCTGGACCTCAGTAGAGTAGAGAGGTAATTTTGTACAATGCCCATTGCTATAACCGACTGGTATATAATTGGCCTCCTGTAACCTTTCATTTAATGTCTTTTTAAATAAGAGACTCCAAAAGTTAAATAGTTCATGTACCTTTAAAAGATATAATGATAACAAATAGATTGATACTGATGACAATTCTTTGAAAAATGTCTTCTCTACTATGTATCATTCATCCTGTCCAGACAGTTCATCGTGGAGAATTAGGTTGGTATCACAGGATCAGTCAGAATCAAAGAATTCCAATCTAATTTTTGTTTTGCAAACACTAAATTTGGGATGATTAATGGTTCTAGACTCACATACCAACAGGGCTTAGTTGAAGCCTGAAAAGTTCTCAAAATCACTTGGGATTATTGAACTTTTTGTGTAAGAAAAACATTTACGGGGGCACTGTCAGGCGAGGAATCTAGCTTGAAAGATGTTCCACCATAGTTATCTCAAAACTAGGCAACTAAAAACATAATCATACAAGAATTGAATGAAATGTCCGCCTTCTTCCTGAATACATGTTTGTGCTTGATCAAAAATACAATCCAACTGAGACCATGAAGTTAACCTTCATTTTCAACACTAATGAACCCCCAAATCCTAGACTAAAAACTACAAAACTCTGGACATAAGCCTGACCTAAAACCTAATTGAGACCCAAAGCCCAAACCTGTTGGCCGTATTCTACTAAAATTCAAACCAAAGGCTTTCGTCCTAACTTGGAAGGGAGTTAGTTTGAGGTCAAAGTTTTCCTTTTTTTTTCTAACGTGATCAGGTTCAACTGAATTAGTACAACAAGGTATGTGTATGTCTTTAATGAAATAACATCCAAAGCAAATGTAAATGTTCTTTAAAGCCTGTCTGCACTAGTTTGGCCAGGGGGATTAGACCTCCCTGTAAGGTCACTGACAGGTGGTTTCAAATTGGCAACTCTCAATTAACATAAGAAAATGGGGACCATGGGGGACCAATGGTCACCGATTAGGCATTGTTTGCTATAGAGGGGGCAAGCAGCTATAAGAGGTGCAGTGGGGCTTTGCTTTAAGCACAAATCAAATGACCCGACATGGCACCACACAAGGAAAATGACAATGGATGAGACACCTACCTAAGAACTCATCGAAGCCATGAGAGGGTGGGAGGTACTTCCCATCGAGCCCCACCCCCAGATGCCACTTGCCGACCATCGCCGTGTAGTAGCCGCGCCCCTTGAGCATCTCTGCGATGGTTTCCTCCCCATGTGGCAAGCCTCCTGAGGACGTCACATTGAAGACACCGGGGTAGATCCCGGATCTCATGTGGTAGCGGCCAGTCAGAAGAGCAGCCCTGCAAAGGGAAAGGATAAAGATTATTTCCTATTAGATTTCCTGAATTGTCCTTTTAGAAATTGCTCAGCTACAGAGGAAATGAGATCCTGTGATATTTGTTTTTCAATTCAACCTTAGTAATGAGAAACAGAATGACAAAAAATGAGAAATAAATCTGACCAATAATAAGAAAATTATGACTGTTTGAAATAATCAGTTACGGATAACTCTCCTGTTTGTTGTGTACAAAAATATCACAAATTTCTGTTTTTTCCTACATACGTGCCTCCATCCTTGAGGCACTACTCAAAATTTATTATGGGGAGTATATTACTGAAGGTCCTCTAAATGGAAGAGACCATCCTGAGTATTGAAGGAGGCAAATTATCTTGAAAAAGAAGAAGAAGAAGAGTCATACATTTTTGAAAAATTTAAATTTCAGTTATTTTGTGTGTTGGAACAAATAGGAGATTGTCCATTATAACATCACAGTGACATCATCGATTTGGCCCATTTGAAATTCCCATGCATATAGTGATTACAAGTTCTAAAACTCGTAGCTTTCTCATCTTTGAGAATTTGACATTTGTAGGTATGCTTCAATAATAAAGCTTACTGTATTATTCAGCCTGGTTGCTGATGAAAAAATGTGATCACTATGAACTTGTTTCTGATTTTTTTTCTCTTCAATATGGCTCTCACATCACAATAGAATGTTCTTGCGTGCCACTTAGTACTCTATCTTCACCTTTACAAATAATGAAATAATTACAACATTCGAAGTACATTTACTGCTCTTCACAGGATTATGGATAATCTCCCATTTCTCTGCCTACGAGCATGAAATCCCCTTTTTGTGGCCGTAAAATAATTCAGTCTTGTCCGACTTGAAATGTATGTGTTTGGTGTACTTTAATTATAGGTGAACAACCTCTTTGTGTTCTGAGAAATGGGCAAGCTAAGCCCAAGTGGCATCTCTGACAATGGTCATTGAATGTTATTGACGGAATCAATTACTTGCTAGCATGTAGTAGACACCTAGTATACATTGTTGCTTTAGCCTATTCCCCGGGGCTAGAGATGATAAATCGACAACTTGAAATAGGATATTACCCGGGATAATCTCAGATATATCACCAGCTTGAGCTCCAAACACATCATTTACCCTAAAAGCTAAAAGCAGGATTTTGACCGAAATCCAAATAAAAATTAGATGTTTTGTCTGGCGTTGATTCTCGCTACCGGCCTGGCCACGGGATATGGGCCACGCATTCACCAATCCCACCTAATCCCATCCGTCACCCTCTAATCATTGATTCGTGAGTCAAGTTTGCATGGAGGAAATGAAGGGAAACTGGGACAATACTCAATTTGTCACAAGCGACTGATCTTGTTTGCCGTATCTATTTCAGGTGAAGGATACGGAGAATAGATCTCAATCCTATCTCCTTGATCTCATATGCTCCAGCAAATTATTTCAAATGACTCCGGGTCAGTATCTGAGACTATTATAAATGCACAAGTACAATACAAGACTTTAATTATCACCCCCATTTTGCTCATTTCAAATAGGATTCATGAATTCTAATTTCTCCTCGCACAGCACCCTAAGGGTGGAGTGGGACTATTAAGTGTCTAAATGTGAGAAAATCGGAATGACCAGCAGCAAAGAGTCCTCAAGACCAGGGTGACAATGTAATTTTGTGAACTTGTACTTGTGAGCAACTCTACGTTACACTGATTGAGTTGAAGCAAGGTGATTCAACTTTGTGATATTCAAGAGGTTTCCAACTTCTTCAGGAACTTACTGGAAACTGATGCATACACTTAATATTAACTACATTAAACAACATGAGTGTTGCCCTCTAGATATGTAAGTAGTTTAAAGGGGGCCCTTTTTGAAGAAGAAAAAAAGAATGACAAAAAAGGGGGAGGAAGAGTTGTCAAAATGTATAAAAGAATGAAATAGGTGCTAAAGAAGAATAAAAGGGGCATAGTTGGTTAAGAATCAGAAGGAAATAGTGCATATTAATTACACCTGATTGTGTCTACTAACTTTTCTACTAGATGTACAATAACTAATCCACCCCCCCCCCCCCTCCGAGTGTGTGGGTGTATTTGTGTGTGAGTGTGTAATCATGTGAAAGTTGTTAGCTGCCTCTTGTCACTTCACCCTAAAGAAACGAAGAAAGGAAAGGAGGAGACATTTTGCTCTCCCAGCAAAGGACCGATGAAAGAAGAATGAAGGTCTGCATTCCTCCAAATATACAAGAGAGGTCTGTCCTGATCAGCCCAAGTTGGAATCCCTGAGGTCAACCAAAAGTTTCATATCTCATCTTCATCAGCTCAAAACTGGATGTTGAGAAATTTAATCAGTGTTCGCGCATATAGTGCGAGTTTTCAGTCTGAAGCAGACCACAAATATAGCCGGCTATTTTGAAAACTTGTGCAAGATATCTTTGGAAAATTTCCCGTGCAAATAAGCCTCTATTTGCATTTTTATCCGCCAAATAGCCCGCTATTTTGTGATCTGGCTAATTTCCCCACTCAGAAATAGCAGGCTATTTGGCCAACTCTGGCTGATAAGCTATTTGGCCAACTCTGGCTGATAAGCTATTTGGCCAACTCAGGCTGATGAAAACAGACCTGAGGTGATTTTGAAGTGAAAAAATTTAGAGCGCTCTGGATTTAGATTCAAGGGATGTCGCTAGACCATTTTGATTTGGGGAGGAGCAGGGGTGCCAAACTTAATTTACTCACAAAAGAACTGAAAATTCCCATCAAACCATCCACCCCCCCCCCCTCAAAAAGTTGAACAAAGGCCCTGTTTACATTGTCCATTCCCAGAAGTGTTTTTGAAGTCAAGAAATTTAAAGAGCTGTTGATTATATCCAGGCCTTCAGGTGTATTGCAAGACCATTTTGAATGGGGGATGGGGATTGTTGGACCAGATTCGGCAACAACGACAATGTAGCTGAAAATTAGACCCTACTGGCTACACCCCCCCCCCCTCCCCCACAATCTAGTGATGGTCCTGTTTACATTGTGCATTCCCGCAGACAAACACAAGTCTTTCTGAAGTTAAGAACTTTAGAGGGCTATGGATTTACATTTAAGTGAACGGGGGAGGGTGTCAGAAAAAAAAGGGACCTGGAAATTCTCTAATCCAACACCTCCCCCTTCTAGTGTTGCCCATGTTTACATTGAACATTGCTTAGTCAGTCATCCTTCCATATATTTTTTTGAAATGAAATTCAATGTGTCTGATGTATGCTTTGCTATGCATGGCTGGCAGAGTAAAACACGTTGGTTGGCAAAAAGAGTTTAGTGCACAAACAACTTATATCATGATATTCTATTTCACATAAGATATTTGCACTTTCAACCGAACAAGCCTGAAATATGTAGTATAAGGCTTGAAACACAGGAAAGTTGTATATTATGTAGACTCCAACATTGTCTTTTCAAAGACCGCTTTTTATATATTAGTTTTGGGCATATAAGGGCATATATAGCCAATTTCTTATTTTAAAAGAGATGAGCTACTTGAGCCCCCTCCCCCTTACCCACCAACCCATTCAATCAATTAGTGACTTGGAGTTCTCAGGTGCGAATGGAAAGCTGATGGGCGGGTGCCCTTTGGCAGGGTATTCATTCGTTGATCCCTGATTACCTAGCCCCTCAGATTTGAATAGGACTTGAAGCGAGGGCAGGGTTCTTGTTAATTTTTCTGATAGCAGGCTATTTATGATTTACAGGAGGCTACTAAAATTGCAAAAGAAAAATCTCTGTGCGCGTAGCGCACATCACCATGTGCGCGAAGCGCACATCACGAGCGCGAAGCGCGAAGTCCCTTGCGGCCGGGGTCCAAGGGCCCTGGAAGCTTTAGGGTTTTAGATGCTCTCTGGTGCTATCTTAGCCTTTTTTTTGAAGATATGACCACACTGTATGAGCCATAGTTTAATGATAAAGATCATGAACAGGGCTCGAATTTAGCGGTGGCCCGGTGCCAATGGCCACCTGAAACGCTGTCGGGCCACCTGAAATCACCGACTAGATGGCCCGGCTGGCCACCCAAATATTTGGACAGTAAAGAGTAATATATAAATTATTTATCAACAACTTGTTTAACCTTTAGATCTACCCGAAACCGAGGCGACATTTATTTTTCCAAGCTTTTCCAAGCGACGCAATCCGATCTATCAAACAAGGAAATGTTTCGTTTCGCATACTAACTTTATAAAAACGATGCACGCCGTCGCGTAGGTACTGTACACACCGCCGCCGCCACCCCGGCCTGGCCGGTACATAGGCGTAGCGCTATCATAGTATGCTACCGCGTATAGGGCAGCTGTCGATACCCGCATTGCAGCACAGCTAGTACGCTTCTCAACTCTTTGTTGCGCAGTTACAAACTGCGCATGAGATTTCGGGCGGGTAAGTTGGGGATTCCCAAATCCCAGCATTGTGATTGGTGTACTGAAACTAAAGATCGTGTGCATGCAGCGGCGGGAGTTAGACTAATTAGTTGCTGTTCTAATAATGCGACGGAAAAGACAGTTACTGCTTTCAAAACAATAAAATAATCAATGGAATTAAATTAAGATGCTTTAAAAAATAAATGGATATCGTTTCAGTTGACGGTATGTGTTTTTATCGCTCTAAAATTGAGGCTGCAAGAAAGGAATCACGCTTCGTGGTACCGATCGGGTGCGTTCAGAAACGGAAGTGGAAATAGATCTATGACCCACTGAAGACAGAGCAAGAAAATGCCAAACACGTACAAGACTAAAATGTTGATCAGACTATTGCAATTAAATCGTAATACTAAAGGCATTAATTTAATTGTCAAAATATATCCACAACATAATGGTTTACCCTTGATAGTTTGATGAAGGAAAATAAATTAAAGCTCTTGAAATAACATCGAAGTGCCTTTCGTTCGTTCTAAAAATGCGTGTATAACGGCAAGCAGATTAAGTTACGAGTCAAGCTTGATATGCACGTTTACATCCCTAC